GACAAGTCTGTCAGGCATTTCTTTGTCAGTTGTAAACAATGTTGACCTGAAGTGAACCCAAAACTACTACGTCATTCTTTGTTAGCAAAGACCTATAAACAATGCCTTTGATGCAACAGTTGTAAATAACGTGCACGAAATGATAAATATGATACTCATCTATTCATTTGCAACTTCGATGAAGTTACTTTGAGTAACTTTGTAATAGACCAATAAATTTCATACGAAAGGGGTAAAGAGAGACCGCCTTGATTTTTTTTCCAGCGAGGGTCCGACATATCACAGGCACTAGTTATTCAGCAGATCAACATTAATTCGATCATTTTTTTTACTATAACCTCCTTGAACAGTTAAACTTAACAAACTGGATGAAAAATAAATGAACGAAAAAAAAAATCTCACACCTCCTTCCTATTTTCCAAATGGAACAGTCGAAAAATCATATCAAAAGAGTACTGATTGGTCAAGTATATCGCAGCAGCGGATTGGTTGAATCGGTACAATTAATCTCGTCTCCTATTGGTTGCTTCTGGTTGCCATGACCACAGCTTTTGTTTACTTCAGACCAGAGCTGTTCGAAAGTCGTGACCACAAGCATGGCGAATGTTACGCTCGTGAACTTGGCTTTGGAAAATAAGATTATGGAGAGAAATCAAGTCCAAGAACACCGTCTATTGGTGGGTTTAACATTGTACAATGTCTGTTGATGGTTAGTGGGGGCATTTTGGACATTTTGCCCGTGCGGAGATGCGAAGACACGCGGGCTCAACACTTGCACTACTGAGTTGCAGTACATGTAACTTATATCGTCTCGCAACATGATGGCAGAGACCACAACCTCCTTGTACAGTGGTCGTGAATGTTGGTTATAACCTATACGGTCGACAGGAAACAATTCTTAAGTACAGAAGATATGAGTGCTTAAATGTAACGGCTGTATGCCAGTATGGGTTTTTAGTGACGATATACAGCGGGCGTAATGAGCGTCTGCCATGAGCCCCGGCCCACCCAGTTACCGACTGAGTTGTCTAGATCACTTCCGGCACCTAGTCTGACGTCCAGGCTATGCCAGGACTGAAAAGATTGGGATAAAATGTCTGAAACTAGAATGATAGTTCATGCAATACAGGATTTTTCTGCCGGAAAAGGTCAGGTTGTCCTGTGCAGAAAATAAATAGGCCCGTTAAGGTGATATCTTTGTGTTGTCAAAAGTCTATCATCGTAACATATTTCCATCACGAGAGTGCCTTTTAGCATGAAAAACTAACGAGCAGTTGTGCTCCTTGAACCTGTCCTTGGTGCTGAAATGACTTTTTACTCACATATCATCGGTTCAGGACGTCCATGTAATATTGTAAGGGCAGGCAGTTCAATGGATATCCCACAAAAATTCGATATTTCTGCAAAGTGTTGAGATGTTTTTCACTAAGTTTGATGATATAGAATATGTTTATGTATCACTATGTCCTGAGTAGATAACTACATTGGTTGTTGTTTCTGTTATCACAGGTTGATGGACTTCAGATGGCTGAGGATGATCTGTATTTCTCAGATGAGGAAGAAGAGGATATTTACATGGAGAAGACTCCCCGCAACAACCACACCACTGTGTTCCCCCTCACTCTACAGTGGGT